AAACTAGTCATTTATAGCTAAATGGATGCATATGGAGGCCATACTCTTAAGTGAAATAAATAGGACACACATGTGTCAATACTGAATAGTTTCTCTAGTGTGAGAAACTGAAAGTGTAAATAAGGATTAAAATGATTAAAATCAATAATTGATAATTTGAAATAAGAAAAGGTCCAAAGGTCTAGGGGTGGCAGGAGGGGAAAGGGAAAGAAGGGAAAGGAAAAATTATGAGAAAAGAAAAAAAAAGGGAAAAGAAATCTATGTAAATAGGGAAGGGGGGGTGAAGGGCGCACAGGTAATGGGGAAAAAAATAAGAATCAAGATGCATCATGTGCAGGTACAAGCACTCAGTGATAAATGTAAACGTATTGTATACCTAAAATGTACCAATAGAAGAATTTTTTAAAAATAAAAATAATAAATAAATAAAACTCATCTGAAGGTATGCCATTAAAAAGACATTAAAAAGAACTGCGAAAATATGAAAAAGTTAAAAATAAAAATTAGGGAGCCCGGCGTGGTGGCACACGCCTGTGATCCCAGCACTCGGGAGGCAGAGGCAGGAGGATTGCTGCGAGTTCGAGGCCAGCCTAAACTACAAAGCGAGACCCTGTCTCAAAAAACAACAACAAAAACCCAAAAACCAAACAAAACAAAAAACTAGGGGAGGAAAAAATGCAACAGGAAGATACTAAGCAAAAGCCAGCCGGGCACAGCAGCACCAGGCAGCTTAGAGCACGAGGGTGAGCGAGGGTCCTGTGATCCGGGCTCCCCTCGCCCAGACACAAGCCCTCACGCACGTGCACCTGCTGACACCCACCCTGAACAGGCTGGGGCACAAGCAGCAAGCCCGCCACGCCCCAAGGGGGCGCTGTGGCGCATCTGAACTTAGAGCTTCTGCGCAGCTGCTGCATCATGGGGATGCGGGGAACCCAGCCGCAGAGCTTCGAACAGGACAAAAACTGGGGAGAGGGGCACACACCAGACTGCTGAGCAAGCCTCCACCAACGTCGGGTAACCGGAATTACACAGAGCGCTACACCGGTGTGTTCCAAACCAGTCACAAAAGTTAATCCAGATGCTCTGTGGGATTTGGAAATAGACTCCTCAAATAACGCACTGATCAAAGAAGAAATCAGGGGTTAGAAAATACCCAAATCCACTGGTGTTGAAAGGACTACAGCACAGCCCAGGCGACACTCAGAGGGAAGCACAGAGCCACACCCGCAACTCTAGAAGTCAGAAAAAGAATGACTAAACCTACAGAAGTCGGGAGGATGTAAACACCAGGGAAAAGCGAAGATTCCAAACAGACCCTAACTGAGGACCGCGAGGTTCCATGGAGACCCAGGGCCCCCATGCTGGAGCGGGGAGCGACACGGTCCACGGAGGCTGAGGAAAGGAGCCAGCAGGCAGCTTCTCAGCCTAGAGGAGCGGGATGGTGGGAGGCCTGATGCCGCGTGGACCTCCAGGCGGTGAGAGGCAAGGGCCTGCAAAGTCCTGTAGCCACAGCACAGGGTAAAGAAGTGACCAGGGAGCCCTGAGCAGAGAGCCAGGCTGAGACTGGGACCTTTACCAATATCTTTGGGGTGAGGCCAGACATCTCCAAAGCTGTACCCCAGGGCTGCCAGAAAGCAGTCAGGCAGGCAGACTGCCAGGCAGAAAATCCAACCGACCAGGTCTGTCTGGGCTGCCGCTGCACGTGTGGTGGGAGGTGACCCTGTGCCACATGTGGCGTGGCAGGCTGACAGGGTGGCTGAGAGGCTCAGCATAAACACCAGTCCGGACAGCAGGCAGTGGCTGCTCCCGCGCTTCCCTAAAGAAAGGGCTTCTGCTCGAGGACAGCCTGCCCCGCACGTAAGAGCGCGGACGCACAGCTGCACACTGGTGAGCAGAGGCACCCTGGGATCCAGGAGCCTCTCCTCCCACTCTCAGAGGTGTGCACCTCCCACTTCTGCCACAGGGGCAGGCACCACTTCCCCGGACCAACCTTGAGGTCGCCGGGTCCCAAGCACCTGCCACTGTCAGCAGAGCTCCGTCACCTGTGCCCCGGGCCTGGAACCTGCCTCAGCCCAGGCAAGCAGGAACCCGAATCGCCTGGGTTTGTGAAACCGAGGGGAAGGAGACCGCCCACCCGCCGGGACCCACCTGGGCTCGCGCGCAGCCATGCGCAGTCCCGCACTTTCACCTTCCACGTGAGTTCCCGCAGCGACAGCTTGCCGTGCTTGCCCAGGGAGAGGAACCTCTTGGTGCACCGCAGGAAGCGGCGCTCGTTTCGCCTGGAGCCCCAGAGGCCGGCGGGCACCAGGAGGTGCAGGCAGGCTCGCAGGAAGGCGTACACCTGCCAAGAGCTGCAGTGTGCGCGCAGCAGCTGAGCCAGGCGCTGTGCGCCCGCGTCGCCTTCGGGGTCGACCGAGACCCGCAGCGGGCAGTGCACGCGGAGCAGCGCGCCGTAGGGGCACCGCGCGTGGTTGGCCAGCAGCTCACGGAACAGGGGTCGCATCCGCCAGTAGCGCGGGGCCAGGCGGCGCGCGCGGGAGCGGTAGGGTGGCCCGGGCCTGACGGGCGGTGGGCCCAGGAATAGGGCCTCCACGAGCCTGCGCGCCCCGGTCATGTTGGGTGGCAGCGCGCTGAGCACGAAGGAGGCGCGCAGCCGCTCCGCGCCGCCGCCCACCCGCGAGTAGAGGAAGCGCTTGGTCTCGGTGGCCTCACGGGGCCCGGTAGTGCTTCTGCTGTCCCTCGACCGCGACGGCTCGCCTTCGAGGGACGCAGCTCCGGGCGACACAACGCGCGGCTCGCCGTTTCCCAGGCCGTGCCTGGGCTTCTTGGGCGGGGTCGGACTGGCACCTGCGCTGCAGCTGGGGGCGCGGCGCAGGGACCCGAGGACCGGGCGGGGATGTGGCGCGCGGCGCTGGGACGCCGTGAGGCCGCCAAGCTCGTGTAGCGGCTGCCCGCACACCTGGTAGGCGCAGCTGGGCGCCACCAGCTGGTAGAGCGCGCAGCGCGACAGCAAGTGGACCAGCACGTCATCGCCCAGGCGGCTCAGCAGCAGCCCCCAGGCGCCGCTGCCGCGCAGCGAGTCAGTCACCGTGTTGGGCCGGAAGTGGCACACGTTCGTGGTGAAGGCCAGGGGCGGCCCGCCGCGCGCCTCGTTCAGCAGCCCGAAGCCGAAGGTCAACACATTCCGCGCACCGCGCTCGCACAGCCGCTGCACCACGCGGGCCACCAGCTCCTTCAGGCTGGACACCTGGGCGAGGAGAGGGTCCCGAGTCACCTGGCCGTCAGAAGACCCGGGCCGGCCCGCCTCGCCCCCTGCGGCGGCCCACCTGGCGGAAGGAGGGGGTCCCAGGATACATCGGCCGCGCGTCCCAGGGCACGCACACCATACACTGCGCCACCAGCGCGCGGAAGGCCGCCGGGTCCCCGCGCCGCAGAAGCCGCGCGCCCTCGGGCCCCAGGCGCCGCGCGAAGGCGGCAAGCGGCAGCACCTCGTAGTAGCGGCGGCGCAGCAGGGCGCGCACGGCCCGGCACCGCGGCGCGCGTGGCATCGCGGAGGCCCAGCGCCCACGTGCGCAGGGACTGGGAGACGAGGCCGGCGGGGCGGGGCGCGCGCGGAGGAAAGGGCGGGCTCGCCGCTGGCCCCGCCCCGGCCTGTGGGGTTTCAAGGCGTGGCCGGCCGCGCTGCGTCCGCCTTCCGGGAGCAGGATGGGCCGAGGGAGGGAGGGACGGAGGGAGGGCGGTAGTGACGAGGGGTGCGTGGGGGATCGTGTGCGTGGGGAATCAGGTGCGTGCTTCCCTCCTTCGACCTTTTCGGGGTCCGAGACTTGAGCATCCAGGCCGCCCTGGGGTCCGTAAGAAGAGTTTAAAAGGGGCCGGGCAGCGCGCCCCGCACCAGCGGGGGAGGGGTAGACGTGGCTCCCCCCCCCCCGGCCGGGTCTCGGGGCCCCAGGCTGGATTTCCTCTGCGGGCTCTTGGGCGGCTGCTGGGCCCCAGCCATGAGCACTGCGCCCGCGCCACTCCCGGCCACCAAGCAGCGCTGAAGGATGAAGGGGTCCGCCCGGAGCCGCCGCTCTGTCCACAGCCGGAGTGGGAGAGCGACGCCCCGAGGGACCCGGCTGCAGCCTCGCAGAGGGCCGGAAGTCCGGATGCTCCTGCGCGGGGACCCTCACCCCCTGCCCCGAGGCTGGGGGTGGGGGCCTTTGCCCAGGGGACTTGGTGGCCAGGCCGCCGGCAGCCCGCGCTGGGCCACTGAAGGTCGAATCCTGGGAGAGGCGGCAACTTGTGGGTCTCCGGAGGGTAGGTGGGGCCAGACCTGGGTTGGGCAAACACTAAAATGTTGACCGATCTAACCCTTCAGGCCTAAGAACTTGGTGAGGGAATTGCCTGTCCGGAAGTGGCCTCCGAACACGCCGCGCCCTCCCCAGCAGTCAGCCCAAGTTCCTGCCCTCCCTCCAGCGGCCAGGCCTGGTAAATACCGGGATTACAGGTTAATGTTCTGGGAAGCCGACTACGAGGCGCTTCCTCTTCTAAGAGCTGTGTTTGAGGCCGCTTCATTTCGCCACTGGCTTGGAAAATTCTTTCCAACAACCAGAAATTACTCTGGTGCCCCAGAGAAACCAGCAAAGAAAGTGTAACTTCAGAAATAAGAGTAAAAGAGGGCTGGGGTGTAGCTCAGCACTAGAGCACCTGCCTGGTATGCACGCGATCTCCGCAAAGGGAAGCCAAAGAACGGAAGAAATAGGCCTCGGGTTGCACTGGCAAGATGTGTGCCGTGTCCTTGCGCAGTCCGGGCCCTCAGTGAAAACCGCTGATAGCAGAATTGCCTCCCCAGCATCTCCTGGGCATCAGTGCTTTTCTGAAAGGCAGTGATAGTCTTTAACCATCATACTGCAAAACATGAAAAACATTCAGAGGAAAACATTGTGTTGGCTTAAAATACAGCGGCACGAGGGCCGGGGATTTAGTTTCCTCTCCTACTGCATAAGCGCAAGGACCTGAGTTCGAGCCCCGGTACGGAAAAAAAAAAAAAATACAGCAGCACGAGCCAGGTGTAGTGGTGTGCACCTGTAATGCCAGCACTCGGGGACCTGAGGCAGGGGGATTGCAGTTCAAGCCTGGCCTGAGCAATGCTGAAACTAGGACCTTGTCTCAAAAAGGTCTCAAAAAGATAAAGGAACTGGAGTGTAGCTTAGTCCAAAGGCACTAGATTCAGCCCCAAGTGCTGCAAAATAAACAGCACAGTGCAGTCCTATGTCTCCAGTCCAGTGACTGATGGTGGGCTTCCCACCTCCCGCCCGGTGATGCACCAGCAGCAAGGAGCCCTAAGGTGCAGCTCCTCAGCCCCTCACTGAACCCTCGGACAGAGCTCCATGTGGCAAGAAGGGCCCCGCCGTGCTGTCACTGTGTGTGTGGTGACATCCACGTGTACCCACACATCACTTGGGGCTGTCTACCAAGTAGCAGGTCCACGCTGGGCTCCTGTCCCTGGAGGGGACACTTGTGGCCCTGCACTCGGACTGCTGTGTTCCAGGCTGCTCTGGGAAACTGCAGAGATCAGATGGGTCCTTGTCTGTGAGGAACCACAGCAAGCCTTACACGTGGATCTGAGACCGGAGGGTTGCATTCTGGGAGCTCTTGCCCGGGGAGTGTCTGGAGCCCCGGGATGCACTCAGCAAGTGGAAGGGTCTGAGTGGGGCCGCAGCCTCCTCCTGTGCTAAGCCATTGTCACCGGTTGCGGACCTGGCCACTTGTGCTGGAGCTTCCAGGCTGCTCCTACATGGAGCTGGCTGGAGCTGGACAGCAGCAGGCACGAGCCTCACCCAGACCCTGGCACATCTCAGCTGGCTGCCTGGGCTCCCACGACACCTGCACCTAACAGGATGCATGCACGTTTGTCTTCCTGGGCTGACCACGAGCTGGTGTAAGAGCAAAGTGGAGAAGGCCGGCAATCTCATCACCCTCGCAAGGGGTGAGGTGGCCCCTGTGCCTGCCTGCTGCCCAGCTAGGATCTCAGTGCTAACCCTCTGATGCCTCTTTAAACTTGTGTTCTGAAATAATTATGAGCCCAGTGTTGGTTTCCTATGGCTGTGGCAGCAGATTAGGAAAGTGAAGGCCCTGGGGACGTCACAGGTGCTCTCCAGCTCTGGAGCCCGCGTTAGGCTTATGTCTGGATCCCCAGCCTCCTGTGTTTGCAGGTGGGCGCTTTGGGCTGGTGAGTGGGTCATCCGCGCACTCACCATGGATGAGCTCATGCATGCCTGAAGGTGCTGTCAGGAGTGGGGCCTGCTGGGAGGTGCGTCCTTGTCCCCCGCTCCTCCCTTTTATCTGCTTCCTGCTGCCATGGGGTGAGCAGCTGTCCACCACCAGGCCCTTCTGCTCTATTTGTCTTAGGATCACCTGACCATGGGCTGAATCCCCAAAACTGTGAGCCAAATTCAACCTCTCCTGTAAATTGCAGGTGTCAGGTATTTTGGCCCAGCAACAGGAAAGCTGGCTAATACGGGAAATTGTTGCCAGAGAAGTGCAGGTGTGTTAGCAGCTGCTCAAGTTCATGTGTACAAAAGTTCTGCTTGATGCCGGCCAATCAGAGGGGCCCGCCTGTGCAGGGTGAGACGGTGAAGTGTGGCAAATGGGCCCTCCATCTCTTCAGCCCGAGCTTGGGATAAATCCTTTTGCCTTGTTTCCCAGATGTATGGGTGGACAGATTTCCGTGGCCCTAGGATGTGCAAAAGTCCTGGAGTGCAGCTGCTGGACAGGTTCGGGGAGTGTGGGCAGGCTCTTGGCAGAGGGGCTGTGGCGTTTGGCACCCCACATGCAATGAGAGAGGCACCCACGAAGGCATGAGACCTGTAGTACGTGAGGACAGCTGCACACCTCGCAGGAGGAGGTGGCACCTGGAAGTTGCAGCTGGCACAGGAACCTACATGGGCTCTGAGCTGGGCCCAGGCTTGACTGCTCTTCAGTGTGGGTGACTGGCAGTGAAGAGGAACATACTGAGGACAGTGTCCTGAGCCCGTGGCCCCTGCACCACCCAGTGCGTGGGAGGTGGGTCCTGGACTCCAGGAGGGCCAGGCTGGGGCCAGGGCCACCCCCAGGAGGTTCCCAGGGACCACAGCTCCCTGCCAGGAAGAAGGTAGAGGAGATGACAGCACTGCCCCCAGCACAGGCGATCCACGCGGGGAGCAGGGTCTGTCCCTCAGCCCGGGACCCTCAAGTCCTCTCCCTGCTCTCCAATCCGGGGCAATGGAGAGCTCCGGCCCCTGCTGCGGCCCCACTCCTTCCTCTCGGCTCCTGGGCGGGGCTCTGTGTCTTGCTGTCCTGCTGTGGTTGGGGACCAGAGGTTACCAGGTGCTTCTCCAGTTCTCAGTGGCCAAGATAATAGTAGGAGCAGTGCTCTTCATTTATACAGTTTTGTCATTGCGGTCTCACGCACATTATTTCACTGTCATGCACAACCAGGAAGTGCACTGACAGGTGTTCTGTGTGGTCACAGGCCAGGGCCTCTGGCTTCCTGAAGTACCACACAGCCTGGCAAGTTGGGGGGGCACAGTGAGTGGGTCTTCCGAGTCCCAGCCCCAGCAGCAAGGCTCTGCTAGGTTAATCTGGCTGCCCCTGGTGTATCCCCGTGTTTGCTTTCTCTTGCCCCTTAAACTGCCTTATGAAAACCAATAAAAAGTGCTTAGGGCAAAAATCCCTCTCAATGTGGTTATTTAATCCTTGCATCTTGGCAAATATCACTAGGTTCCTGTTTTACATCTTTGGATTTTTGGACTGTTTAAAGTTATTGGATGAAATTCAAGCAAACAAAGCAGTGCGATAAAATCATCCACTCGCATTGGAAAGGTTGAGTTTGCTCATGGGATGAAAGCTCCTCGTCGCCCCTTGTGAATGTGTTGCTGTCCCCTGCAGCCTCCCTGCCAAGTTCTGAAAGTAACTAGGTCCCTTGAGCCAGCCTGGTGCCTCCGATACGCAGGACTCGTCTGGTGGAGAAGGCCGTTTTAGGGCTCAGGATCTGTACGGGTTCAGTATAGCCCACTTTGAACATAGTATCAAGAATCTGCAAACACATCAGAGAAAAACCACAAGGGATGAGTGTAGAAGAGACAAAAACAAGCCGGCCGTAAGGTTAAGGGATGGGAACTGGAACAGTCGCAGGAGGACGGGGGAGTGTAGAAACACAGCATTGCCAGCCCACCCAGGTTCTCTTGGTCCGAGGCCAAGAGGCTTTAACAGCTGGCGCGAGGCGCTGGACAGATCCTCACAGGCACCGTGCTGTCACGCGGTGAGGCCTCCCTGCCCGGAGAACACCCTCTGGAGGCCACAGGTGGAGGGACGCGTGTGGGCAAGGACCTGGGGTCTCCACAGCTCCTACCCCAAGGCTTTGAGATGGGAGCTGCTGCTGCAGCCTCGCCCAGCAGGTCCTCCGCCGGGCCCGTTGTCCCACGCACCCCATCCTGCCCCGACCCGGTGTACGGAACCCCTGGATCCCACAGGCTGCCCCACTCAGAATGGTTCCAGACCATATGTTTGGTTTTTGCCACGCTGAGGGTGGGACCTAGGGCCAATCACACACCCAGCCCTGCATTAGCATTTTGATAAAACCAGAGACACCTTGAGACCCAGGTCTTCCCTCCAAGTCCTCTGGTGACAGGTCAGTGCAGACTCCCTGCCCAGGACCGCGATCTGGTGTTGGTGTGGACTCTCCTGGAGTCGCGTGGGTCCTACTTGGAGCAGACCCAGTGCCCAGGAGAGTCGGGGACACCAGCAGCCTCAGCCACTTGTGGGCCTGCACTTCTGGGCTGGAGAGGACAGAGGTGCCAGGCGCAGTCCTGGCCACACTTCTGGAAACAGCTCCTCAGCCAGGGACAGGACGACGTCTGTCCTGGGACACCCCAGCATGTCCTGGCTCTGCACCTCCCCTTCGACTTGCGCTCTCCGGTGGTTGTCCAACAGAAAGCGGTGCTGTGAGCAGCCACAACTGGAGCAGCCGGGGTTTGGACACTTGAGATTCAGCCAGGAGGGGTTGGTTTGCTGCCTCGGGGCCTGACAGAGCTCATGGGCTAATCCAGGGGTGGCAAACCTGTGGCACATGTGCCACAGCAGGCTGGCTGTTCCACTGACATCTCCACAAGGTTCGCCATCACTGGGCTAACCCACGGGAAAGGATGACCACGAAACACCTGAAATTCTTTCCACGTCACTCCAGGTCAGAAAATATCACAGCCAGAGAAATTTATTTAAAAATAGAAACATACATACATTAAGCTTTAAAACAACTTTTAAACAAAAAGGAAAAAGCCATTTGATCCCAGAGTATTAGAATGACTTTCCATATGCATTGAAGTTCACATAAGGAGCACTTAAAACAACTCGACGTGGAACCCCACATCCTCCAAGGGCTGCAGTGTCTGGGGGGCCTGTGGGGTGGGGACACCAGGAGGCCAGCCCAGCCCCCAGGGTTCCTGCCGAGAGCCGCCCGGGGTGACCGCCAGCGCCGCTGTGCCAGACACAGGCTCACAGGCGAATCGGGCACCCTTGCGATTCTGCGGCCTCCCAAAGGCAGAGGTGCTGTGGAGGTACAGAGATGTCCCGAGGGATTTGGCAACGAGGAAGAGGTGGTGTCAGGAATTCCCCTCATGGCGAGCGGGGCCTGCCTACAGCACCTGGCGGTGGTCACTCTGCGTGAGGCTTCTGCATGGGCTGCTCCTCGTAGGACTCTCCAAACTCGTTCACTCTGCTCTTATCCACAGGATAAAGCCTGCAGCACACACAGAGCCCGCCTGAGCCCAGGTCCTGCAGGGCAGGCGAGAGCCGCCTGCTCTGGGTGGCCGTCCCTGCCCGGCTGGGCCCAATGAGTCTGAGCGGTACGGAAGGGTGCCCAGCTGGGCTTCAGGGCGGCATCCTCCCTGCTTGTCCAGCCCAGGCACCTGCAGGCGGTCGCTCCCTTCACCCAGGACCACGGGGCCTTGCCATAGCGCTGCTCCACGCAGGGCCACAGAGCGCTTTAAAACCTGACCCACTTCCCACAGGGCCCAGGGGCTGCACATGCAGAGCCTGAGGGCTGCAGGAGAAGCTGGAGGGGTGGAGGCTCCTGGGGCCTGTGAGGACAGGGCCCAGTCCCAAGGTGGGGCCCCACAGGAGCAGGTATGGTGCCAAGCCCTCTACAGGCCCTTTCTACCTTTGTCCGTTCAGGGGACTGTGTGGACCCGAACACCAGGGTGCAGGTGCGGCCTCCCCCTCACCCGGACACACCAGCCGAGAGCAGGCCCTGCCAGAGGGACTGAGCGGAGGACAGCCATGGCCTAGAAGCCTGCAGAGAAGCAATGCTGCCTCCCTCAGTGGGCAGATGGTGGCCTCCGGGGTGGCAGGGAGGAAGAGGGACCCAGGTGAAGTGTGGATACTCAGTGGCCACCAGGGGTAAGTGGCACTCATCCCGAGACACAGACCTGGGGTCAGGGTGGGGCAAGGGCAGTGCATCATCCCTGGCCTCTGCAGTGTCCCATACCTGGGCCAGGCCTGTCCCAGATACCGTTTCCCCTGGCCCCAGGCACGGCACAGAGCAGGGCCACATGGACACCCAGGATGCCCAGACACCAGCCGGACAGAGCTGGCAGCGGCAGGGCCAGGTGGGCGAGTCCCTCTGCAGACCATGCCCCTACCTGCAGGACGCACAGCCCTTGGGGGCCTGGCCTGCACCCGCTGGACGCCGTGCTGTGACCTCCGCCAGACACTGAACCGCAGTGGGGCAGGATGTGCCTGGGCAGGGACCACAACTCAGAGGGAGCCAGGCAGGGCAGGGCAGGGCGTTCCCATGCCAGGGTGACACAGCCCCCACTGGCACCAGAACCCCCTGGAGGTAGCCACTGCCTGTGCAGGACAGCCGGGCAGGGCTCTGCCACTTACCATCGCTGGTACAGGTAGACCAGGAAGACCACGTCGTCCCGGAAGCAGGCCAGCCGGTGGGATGTGGGCATGGTGATGATGAAGGCAAAGACGTCATCAATGAACGTGTTGAAGGCCTGCAAAGCCAGCGCACGGCTGTGAGAATGCGCCGGGCCGCAGTCCTGCTGCTTCTCTAGCCCAGGCAGCGGGCTGCACACAGCAGACACACGTGCGGGCCTGTCGCTGTGACAGACAAGAACAACGAGAAGCCAGGCCTGGCAGTGCAGGCCTATCACCCCAGCACTCTGGGAGGCTGGGTCAGGAGGATCTCGAGTCTGAGCCCAATCTAAGCACTGAGTGACTTAGGAGACCCGGTCTCAAAGTAAAAAATAAAAGGGCTGGGATGTAGCTCAGCGGGAAGGGCCTGGTGTCAATCCCTTGTACTGAGGGAAAAAACGAAATGAAGGCAGGGAAAGCAAGGGGACAAACACCGCAGCCAGCGCCAGGGGTGGGCTCTCCACACCCGGAGCTGCAGCACTCCCGCTGGGGCTCCCCTCACTCTGGAAAACCGTGCCGAGCTCTCACTCCAGCTGCACACGGGTGCGGGGCGCTGTCGAGGGCCCAGGCCCGCGGTCCCAGACCCCAAGTCACTGTGCCGGGCGGCTGTGCTCTGACGATGCTGCCAGAGGACCCTGGCCATTCACTCAAGCGAATCTCCTCCAGCACGGCAGTGACGGTTACTCTGTGGCCCTCCGTATTTTCTCAAAGGACTTCTTCATATTTTTCAAAACCACAGAAGAGGACCGGGAGAGTGCAGAGGCAAATGCAGGTAATTCCCGCTACTCAGGCTGAGGCAGAAGGATTCAGTTTGAGGCCAGCATGGGCAAGGGAACGAGACCCTGACTCAAAAAGGGAGGGGGCTCGCTGAGCCCTGGGCTCTGTCCCGGGACCCAGACAAAGAGGGACCCGGCGGAGCGCTGCTGCCTGGCGCCGAGCACTGACCTTGTAGGTGAAGGCCTTCCAGGGCAGGTGTGCCACGGACTTCATCTGCGACAGGGAGAGCGCTCGGGTCGGTCCGACAGCCGGAGACACGGCCCTGCCCACACCGGACACGCGGCCTTACCTTGTAGTTCACAAAGAGCTGCGGCAGCATGAAGAGGAAGCCGAAAGCGTAGACTCCTGTGGGCACAGACGGCGCCGCGCTGTGGGAAGGTGGCAAGGGCCAGCGTGTGCTGTCCTCCGGGGGCTGGGGCCCGGTCTGGGACTCACTCAGGGTACAGGGCTTTGCAGGAGCCTGCTCTACAGGAGGCAGACTGGCCCCCATGCTCACACGCGCCTCCCCAAAGTGACACGAAGCTACCCTGAGGGGCCCTGTGGATGGCTGGCGCCAGGCCCGCACACAGGACACTGGCGGGTGTCCCGTGCGTCACACAGGTGGCACGCCGCACTGTGCCTAGGGGTCTGAGTGGCTCGGGGAATCAGACGGCTGGGTGGCGTCAGAATGCTCTGGTCCAATTCCAGGAGGAACAGACTGGGCACCTGTGCCGCCCCGGGCACCAGAGAGCTGAGCAGGGCAGAAGCACTGCATGGGGAGTGGGTGAGACTCAGGGCGCAGGAAAGGGGGCACATCAGACACAGGGAACCCAGGACTCACCATTCACAAAGCTGTTGATGAGCCACGAATACCAACTGAAAGGGGAGGAAAGAGCTGTGACCCTCGGGAAAGCTCAAGCAGTCGCGGGACGTCTGTCCCACAGGCAAATGCCACCCTTCCATAAGACACCCACGCTTTCCAGGACCCTGGGACAAGGTGGGTCCGGGCCCTGTGCCCTCACCCTGCACAACCTTCCCGAGTGCCTGGCCAGAGCAGGACCTGCCCCAGGGGCCGGTCACGCAAACGTGGGCTCCTCGAGATGGCAGAAGGGCACAGCTGCTGCCCACACACAGCTGTTAGCCTGCACCCCACTGCCCCCTCATCTTGCCCAGAGAGCCACCACCTGTCCCTCCTACTCTGACCCTGACCCTGTGTGAGTTCTCTGGTGGAAGCCCCAAGACACTCAGCCACTGGTCTATAGTGGCTTTTCCTTTACTACACTCTGCTGCCTCTGTCTCCCAAAAAGCCAGAGCAGGACGAGCTGCCTCTCCAGGCGACACAGGGTGACACAGTGCCTCTGCTCCCAAAGCCAGCTCAGCCTGAGACTGCTCCTCATGAGCCCAGGACCCCGAAGCCGAGGTGAGCTCTGTCACCTCCACCAGAGGAGACAGGGAGGACCGTCTGCCCTCTGGAGCCGGGCTGTGGCTGAGGCAGTGCCCCCAGCGCCTGGGGCCCAGATCTGAGTTCTCCAACGATGTGTGCTGCACTGCAGTGAGGACAGGGAGACGCACAGGGCCACCTACCTCTTGTACCTGATGTTGAGGAGCGAGTAGACAGCACCCCCGACACACAGAGGGTACAGGAGGTAGGACAGATACTTCATGGCCTGTGGGACAGAGGCAAGCCCGGTTATGCCTTGGCACGTGAGCGTGACGAGCGAGACACTGGTGACGGCAGGAAGCAGGCAGCAGTCACTATGCCGTAGTGACACTACTGAGACACAGCAAGGGACACAGGTCTCTGCAGCAGCCGAGACCCACGGACATGGGCCCCGAGAGTGAAGCTGCACTCCGACCCGTTGCACAGCCCCACCACTGCAGGCCACAGCCACCAGCACAGGGATGCAGTGCGTGACAGACACATCAGCAGCTGTGCTCGCTCTGAGCTTCTTTGATCTGACCTTTCCCATCTTAGTGAGAACTGAACCCTAAACCAACAGGTGTTCAGCCAAAACCACACCATTTGTGTGCGGAATCACCATTAACTTGACACCCACAGCTCCTGCACACCCTGTCCCACCTCAGGCCCACCACCCACCACCCAGCACCGGCTGGCAATCACAGCCCGTGGCCATCAGAGCCTGCAGCGCGGGGACCAGCTGCACCCCAAGGCTGGGACCAGGGCCGCTCTGCGGGTCCCCTCCTTCCCTGTAAGAAATGCATTCTGCACACTCACTCTTGGGGTCCCTGCTCAAGATGTCCCAAGCCACCCTCCAGGGAGACAGCTTCCCCCCGAATGTTGTCCCAGGCTCACCTGCGTGTCGTACTCCTCAGTCTTCCTCTCAGACTCACTGTAGGTGCCAAACTGTCATGAGATCAAACATAACGACATCAGCTTACGGGGAAGGACTCAGCATGGCCAGGCAAGTCCTTGACGCTGCCAGCACGGGGCCCTCCCAGGCCCATGGTCAGCACCACAGCAGGCCTCACTGCAGGCTGGGGACTGGGAGAGCACGCGCATGGGGCTGCCTCTGCCTCGCTCCACAGGGCCCATGCTGTGCTCCCAGGCCACTGGTTTCCCAGGAGCAACACTCATACAGAAGCACTCCTACTAGCTGGGTGTGGTGGCACATGCCTGTAATCCCAGCACTTGGGAGGCTGAGGCAGGAGGACTGCCAGCCCAAACTACACAGTGAGACCCTGACTCAAAAAAAAGCAGCCCTCCTGACAGTCTGTGATGAGCAAAGGTGCAGGAGGCCCTGAGCCAGTGCTACGACCCAAGACACAGCGGCCATCGTTCCACCTGGGACAGGGGCTGCGTGCTGCTGAGGGCGAGTGGGATTATCATGAACACATGCCCGTGGGTGGAGCATCAGGTGGACGTCTGACCGGCCCTGCTCTGCACAGGAGACTTCTCACCGACCGTCAGGGCTGGGAGCCTGAGCCTTCCGGCCAGGTCCTGCTCTGGTGGGTGGCAGAGCAGTCCTCGAGTGAGGAGGGTGAGCTGCATCACGCTGGTGCCCCTGGGTGCCAGGCGGCAAACATGGTCAAACAATCCCTGCACTGGGGGCCAGGCACTGCCTGGGGCACAAGCAGGAGACCCCAAGCCCCCGGTGAACACGAAGAGCCCGGCGGAAGCCGGGGAGGCAGGGCTGGGGCTCACCTGCAGCACAGGCCTCAGGCCTTGCCACGCCACGGTCATCTTCAGGGCCTTCTTCACCTTCCAGAGCTGAGGGAGAATCGAGCCGCTGCACCCTCGACACACTGACATGCCCGCACCAGCACCAGGCACGCCCAGCCCACTCAGCCCAGCCTCCCGCGCCGCCCTGTCTCCTGAAGGCCGCCCGGTGCAGCAGACAGGGCGGGTGCTCACACAGCCTGCGAGGCCTGGGACACGGTCCCTGAACTTCCGAGGGACCATGCCTCCCGGATGGCCCGGACTGGGACTGCGCAGGAGCCTGGTCCTTGGGACGGCGCCCAGGACCACACAGCTCAGGCTCAGAGCCACTGCCCAAGGCCTCACGCGGGCCCCAGGATCCGCTAGGAGGCGCAGGACTCACCTCGATGGCAGCCCCAACGCCGGCCGGGACCAGCACCAGCAGGCTCGTCTGCTCGTCCAGCAGGAACAGGAAGATGACCACGGTGCTGAAGCAGCGCCAGAGCACTGGGGACACGGGCGTGCTGAGGGCAGGCCACCCACCCACCCCTGGAGCACCGTCGCCCCGCCCCCCCAGCACTGCACCCGAGAACAGAGAAGCAGGCTGCAGGGGGCTCTGTGGACAGCCCCGGGTCGGCCCCCGCACCCCCGAGAAAAAAAGAGCAACAGTGGGTGATTACGCAATTCTGGAAAACATTTTAGAAGATCAGGAAAAGCTACAGGAAGCCGGCCAGACAGCAGCAGCCCGCTCAGATGCCTGCTCAAGTGTCGCCTGCCACACAGGGACCTGTGCAGGAGGCATGGGGCTGGCCACCAGGCGGACGCCAGCTCTCCTGGGCCCTTGCCTCACCCTCTCCTGACTACCGCCTGCTTCGAGGTTTCCGTGATAAGCTGTATTTTTCCTTCTCAAGTTGTACTCTGACATCTACTCAGTGGGTTCTGCCTCCCGTGAGGACCTGGTGTGCAGATGCCCGGTCAGTCTCCTAGGAGACGCCGAGGGGCCGCCAGGGTTTGTCTCTGAGGAAAAGCCGCCTTGGATGTCCGAGACCTGCTCGGGCCTGATCCCAGCAGTGAAACTCAAGCTCTCAGGGACCTGACCCCCACCTCAGCCTCCCCAGGGCTGGGTTACAGGCCTGTGCCACCATGCTGCCTGCTGCTCCTTCTTAACCATCAAAAGAATTTCATTTTCTTGAAGACAGATGTCTGTTTCACACCAAATAATCAGATTCAGTACTTTGAGCTTCCGATACTATAATGAACCATTTAATTTCCCGTTATTTTATGAGCCATTTATTTATAACTACAATGTGCTGTAATTTACTATACTTACATATTTTCGTAGTGTTTTTAGTAATTGTTTTCATATGAGATGCTTTTATGAATAAAAATTTCATAACACAACAATGAGAAGAACAATAGTTAATATACCGTGTATCACTGTCTCCAGAGTAGACAAGAGTTCACGACAGACAAAAAAGGCTCTTGTACAAAAAAGAAACAAAGCTAATAGCACGAAACTCTCTTTTCAACTAACAGATACTAGTAGTGTAAGTGAAAAAAATTAGCATATATGTTAAAATATTTCAAAACAGTGGAATAGTGGGGATTTGGAGCTGGACTTCTTCCCACTTCCTATTCCTCTTCTGTTTTGCTCTTTACAGTGCGTGTGTTCACACACACACACACACAATTACACAGAGTTTCTTATGTAACAGAAACCACATGATATTCAATCTGTGTGTCTGACTTATTTCACATCATGTTCTCAAGTTGCATCGACTTTTATCTTTGTGGCAGAGCAGTGCCCCGTCGTGTAGAAATACCATGTCTTCCTCATCTGCTCTGCTGCTGAGGGACACTTACGCTGTTTCCAAGGTCTAACCCTGACTTCTGACTGACAAGGACAGGACCCGGAATCCCAGCCTGTCCCTTTTCACATGGTAACACCCCCCACTGGCCCAGCCACGGCCCCCTCTGCATGGAGCAGGAGCGACTGGGCCGCATGATGGGCCGGGCCCAGGGGCCCCCAACACACACACTGAAGGTCCCAGGTGGAGCCCAGGCCGCCGGTCCCCAAACCAGACCCGCCTTTCACTGCACCCCAGGTCCCAAGGCTCCCTATGACCAGTGAGACAGGTGTGGGGCACACGTGCTATCTCGCCCGATCCAGGCGCCTCCCCAGGGAGAGGAGCACCGCCAGCCCACGGGTCCGCGGGAGCCCTCGGAGGAAGTCTGAGCGTGGGCCACATGCTCTGGGCCTACCTGCTTTGGTGGACATTCCAATCATGCTCTTCTTTTTCTTCCAGAAACTGATGTCATTTTTAAATGCCAGAAAATCAAAAAGGAGCTGCAAAAAGGACAGTAGTCTTCATCTTGAGCAGCTCAGTCGCTAGTACCCACCAGGCGAGCCTGCGGACAGGCTGGCCCCAACCCAGGCCTGGCAGGACGCGTCACGCCCTGCAGGACCCACCCTGTCTGTGCCCACTCCGCATGCCAGAGCCCCGGAAGGCAGGGGACCTTGGTGGGCACTGCCCCACTGGCATGTCTGACTCCAGCCACCTGCTTTCTTCCACTCCAAACGCCTGGTGCCTGCCCCGCGCCCTGTGTAAACCACACACCAGCTCATCCTTCAGGGCCCCACTTGAGCGCACAGCAACATTTATTCCCGACGTGGTTAGGGCAGCTCGGGCTTGGTCGCCCCCACCTGGACGGCCACGCAGCTGGCTTCCCGGCCCCTGGGACCTCTGCACAACTGGCTGCACATAGAACCCTTCCCAGGTTGAGGTCAGCATGGCTTACATTCAGCAAAGCCACTGCAAGGCCACTTGCAACTCTCACTGCCCAAAGCACTTTGCAGTTTCTTTTGAGAATGGGCTCTGGGGCCAGCGAAGAGCCCCCTTTTCTGAGCTGGGAGACCCCTCGGGACGACAGCCACAGGATCTGTGTGGGCTCACTGCTGGAAATGGGACGCTGGTGGCACCCCTGTGCCTGTGCCCCTAGTGCCCACTCACATGGAAAGCTGCAACAAAGAAGGTCAGCGCCAGGAAGTACAAGTTTGTATCCACGAAAATGCCCTTCACCTCATCGGCGTCCTTCTCCGAAAACCCTGCAAAGGGAAAAGATGCGCAGCGGATGCAAAGACAACCCTGAAGAAAGCAGTAAGAATGTGTCTGACCCAACCCGGGGACGGGGGTTAAAGTATCAAGTTCCAAGTCAGGCAAACTTGCAGAAAACCCACAAGGTCACTTTCACAGAGGCCAACAGACATGAGGTGCCGAGACCTGACCCAGGACACAGACAACCCACACGGAGAGGCAGAGGATGCGGGTTGGCGGCCCCCAAAATGAGGGGAGCCGGGGCCGGCACCCACCAAACTGCTGCAGGGAGTACACCGCGTCCTGCATGTGGATCCAGAAGCGCAGCCGCCCCAGCGAGATCTTGTCGTAGCACACGGTGAGCGGCAGCTCGGTGGTGGACCGGTTGATGACCTGTTGGGACAGCAGCATGGGTGAGGACCTGGCCCTGGGAACTGCGTGCTCACACGGGGCCTGGAGCAGCTGTGGTCACAAGTGCCTCTCCTACAGCCGTGAGGCCAGGGGAACCCACCCTGCACAGCCCACAGTGCCCGTGGACACGGCTGCTTCCTGGATCCATGTTGGCCGCACCAGGCCTGGCAGGAGCTGACCCCTGCCCCAGGCCCTTGTGCTGAGCCCGAGCCTTTCCCACAGCCGCTGTCCCAGGAGGGGCGGGTGTCCTGCTGCACCACCTGCCTGCAGCTTCTTCCTAAGTGCGTGCTCTCAGCCTCTAGCCCTGAGCTCCTGGGTTCCTGTGACGCGTCCCTCTGTCCCTGTGAGCTCAACCCACTGTTCCACGTGGGCCCTATCTCTGCAGCCCACACGGTCCCAGAGCTCCAAGGGATGTGTGGGCCACAGGCATCTCCCAGGAAGCCGCCTGTCCACGGCTGGGGTGACGGGTGGGGCAGCCAGTGGGCGTCTCAGCCCAGCCTGACAGAGCCGGACCTCTCGAAGGGTCAGGCCAGTGAGTTCGCTGAGCTGGGTGAAGCTGTGGGGACGGCTCTAGGATGGTGAGAGCTTCAGGAAGAGGTGGCCTTCTGCCCATTCCTGCAGCTTGCGGGGCTACAGCTGCCCCAGGGTCTGGACACGCATGCAAGTGTGCCACGCTCCACGCAGGGCATGGTGCCATCGGATTCAGCGGCCCAGTTCATGCCAACCTCTGCACCAAGCATCCTAGTGTCTGGGGCTTTGGTAAACCTGGGAAGCTGGTGCCGCAAAACATGCCAGGATCTGCCAGGCCTAGCACCAGGGCTCCATGCCTGGTGTGGGTGCCCTGGTGTGGACGTCTTGCTGCAGATGGGTGGCAGCCCTCTGGGGACTCTTGGGCCACCTGTTCCAGGGGTGCCACTTCCCAAGGTGGTGCCCAGTGGATATGGCTGTACTCTGCAGTGGCATTGCCCTGGGAAGTCTGGAGGTGTGGCAAAGCCAGCTGTGACAGGCCTACTCCTGAGCTGGAGCAGGGCTGTCCCAGACCCTGTGGCTCGTGGCTGCTCCAATGCCAGGCTCCCTCAGGACGAAAAGATCCTGCACATGCTGCCTGGAGCCTTCGCCTAGGACGCCACTCCAGGCAGCACCAGGCCCATTTCCCACAGGCCTTGCACTCATGGCCACAGGCGGCCCTAGGCTGCACCATGCTGTCTGCTCCAGCAGAGCCTACGGCACCTCTGCCCCAGGGCCATGCAGCACTGCCTGGCAGAGCCCGTGGGCCCTTGGTATTGCAAACACACCACAGTATACTCCAAGAGGAGCATAGGGAAACTGAGCTGGGGAAAGGTGGGGCTGGGAGCGGCATGCTCACACTGCCTAGCCTACAGGTCACACAGGTGCAGCAGGCACCCAGGAAAGCGGCGCACCCTGCTCAGAGCACAGGAGTCCAAGCAGACGTCTGCAGAGGGTCTGTCACCCACGAGAGACCAGCTGTGCACCTCGGCCAGCACCTCACTCTCTCAGCCTCAGCTCTGCCATCCTCGTGATAGGCAAAAGCCCCTTGCAGGCATGAAAGCCTCAGGTGGGGGAGACAAGCTGGCACCTTGGCCCTGGAGAGGCAGCGGGTGCTCCTGTACATGCCCTCCTCACTGGGGGACCCCAGCCAGAGCTCAGCCTCCCCCTGAACAACCACAGCTGTGAGGCAAGGACGGGGCACAGCCACTGGTGAAGTGCACAGCGGGGCCTGGGCAGGCAAGTGCTGTTAAACATTAGCCATCATCCCTCGTTTCTAGCCAAAGGTCATTGGTCCCTCTGCCTCAGGAGCAGCGCCCTTGCCACTGTAACTGCCTCTCTCCACCTCCCAGCCTTACCCCCGAGCCCAGGATGCACAGCTCCCTCCGGGCTGGGGCCTGCTGTGGAGCCAGGAGGGGAGGCCAGCTGCTCAGGACACTTCTGAAGGGATCCTGGCCCTGACCTCCAGAGGAGCTGTTCAGACAGGGCACTTAATGATCCCCTCTTGGAAGCCCGCCCCAGGGAGGATGGGGCCCAGGACCTCATCCACCCATCTCACCCCTGGAGGTTGCACATCCCAACCCACGTGGACACTGTGCTGAGGATGAACCCTGCCGGGACTGCTGGACCTGGGAGAGGACAGCTCACCATCAGGTCCTTCACGCGGTTGCTCAGTTGGTCGATGAACAGGATGGGGAGGTAGTGCACTGTCTTCCCCAGCTGGATCCTGGGACAGAAGCACAGAGTCCTGTCAGTGTCCAGACCTGCACCCTCGGGGGACTAAATGCATCTAGAAACGAGGTCCGGGGAGACACCCCACCTCACATCGTATCTGACCGCATCTTGGGCACTGTGACTCTAGGACACAGCCTCTCCCCATGGAAATGCAGTGATGTATAAGATGGGAAGCCCCACACAGGCTCTGGTGGTAGAGGCACCAGGGCCACAGCTACACAGGGCCTGGGACCCACCTGCGCTGACACAGAGTGACCCAGGAGGCAGCAGGGAGTGGAGATAACACCCATCAGCTGACCCCCGGGAGGACACGAGCTGCCCTGCTACGGGCTGGGGACAGAGTGGGGGCTTTCCACCAGACAGCCCTTCTGTCCCTTTTATACTTTGAATGGAGCGGACAAATTAACATGTTCAAAAATAGATGTAGTCTTAAAAAGAAAATGCCCTGTGACAGCACAAGGGCTGCTTATGATGACCGAGACCAAGGCCTCATTGTGGCCACCTCCAGAAGCCACACGGCATGTGCGTGGGTCTCCACACAGGGCTCCCCGAAAGCAGGAGAGGGGCAATGCACATCTGCCCCCACGTAAGCAGTGATGATTAACATATGATGGAGCATGACCTAGGTCGTGATCTGAAGACGAATTTTTAAATACATTTAGGTGAATCAAGTAAAAACCTCCTTGTGCTTCATGGCTCAGGTGGCTCGTGTGGGCAAAGTCACAAGTGAAGAGGCCACATCCAGTCACAGCTCCCACTCCTGTCTTTGGCCATCTCTGCTGAGGGCAGAGGGCAAGAGGTACCTGCTGGACCTTCACCTTCTCCCAGTCTCCAGGGGACCTTTATCACCAGGGACTCGGAGGAGGTGGGGAGGTAGGCAAGGGGCCGGAGGCTGCAGGCAAGGCCCAGGACGCAGGTGTAGTCCTTGCTGCCTGGGAGTTACCGGCCCAGGCCTCAGAGGCTCCTCCCACTGCTGCGTACCCGCTGCGTCTCCCTTGCTGGGGCCCATGAGACACTCACATCTTCATGTACCGGTGCACATCGGCGGGCAGCGAGGACCCATCGAAAACAAAGTCATCTACCATCACGTTCAGTGTCAGCCTGGGCCTCCAGTGAGAGACAGGCTCGTCCAGGGCACTCGATGGCTTCTTCTCAGCTTCTATCTGCGGCTACAGGAGAGAGACAGACCCACACTGGGCAGAGGCCCTCCAAGACAGGCCTAGTGAGCCCGGGGCGGGGGGCCCTTGGGGTCCCAGGCTGAGGGTTCCCCCAGGTCTCAGCACACCCTTCTTGTTCCACCGTCATTGGTCAGAGTCGCGCTGACTCTGATCTGGGTCCTCAGACTAAGCAGGCCACCACTGGGAGTCTGGGGGGCAGAGCCTAGGGACCCCAGCTGCAGGGTGAGAGGGGCCAGGGCTGTGAGACCTCTGTGGAGGCACTGCCAAGCCAGCTACCACAGTGGTCTGCAAGGAGATGGGTAAGGACTGGCATCAGTTCCAAATAAACTCAGTTCGGAAAATGAGCAACAGGAAAATCCTACTCATCGCAGATGCAGCAGACATGGTTTCAAAGCAGAACCATGTTATCCTTCCTAACAACCAATCGGCTGTGACAGTTCACATTACCAGGGTCTTCCAGGAGACGACGGCCCATGCTTCCTCAGCACCTGCTACCGCCCAGAGGCCACTCCACACAGCCATCAGTACACACTCACCCTCCAGGGCCCCAACACAGGGCCCCGAGAGGCCCACTGTGCCCAAGGAGGGCAAGGGGGGTGGCAGCTGAGCCCCTCCCAAGGAGACACAGCAAGTGGGGACCAGCTGAGAGAGGGCTCCCAAAACCCGCTCTTCACCTGAGACCCCTGACTCCTGGTGTTTGGAACCATTTCAGGCTGCTTCCTGGGAGCCGCTCACTGCCCCTCACCCCAGCATAGGAGGCTTCCCCTTGTTTTGTGCATGGCCCTGAGAATGATCACTTTTATGATTTCCAGTTATTTTTCGCACATACAGCTTTCTACTGGTAAACACAATGGAACTCACACTTACAGCTTTTCAGTCTTGAATGATAAGCTTAGAATAAACGTCCAGCTGTCCAGTCCCATGTATACCACAGCATGAGTACAAGCCACAGAAACAACTACAAAGAGAGGGGGCCCAGGCCCTTCCTAGGGATCCAGAGGGCCTATGGCCCGAGAGGACACATGGACAAAGAATCCAAGCCATCGCTTAAACAAAATCCCCGACTTGATATGGAAGTTATTTATAAACCTACTGGAAGTTATTCAGGTAAAAGATACACACGTCAGTAACACTCAGAACTGCTTTACTCTCCAACAAAACCACCACAGCCCTAACACAAGCTGCCACACGGCTAACATGTGTGCAAACTCTGAGTGGGAGACCCAAGCTCAGAGCCAGCTGTGGACACACTGTGAGGTTCCTACCTGCACAGCAGTCTCCCCCATCAGCAGATTGATTTCCTCTGGTTTGGGGATCATGTAGGTGGTCAGAGGACTGACCAGGTGCACCTGCTTGCCATCATGCCAGGGCAGCATCCCAGTGTGATGCAGGAAGATGTAGGCGTACAGTGTCCCATTGTTTCGTGTTTTCCTTGGTACAGAAACATTAACTGTCCTAAAACGGCAGAAATGGTCATCTCAAATATGTGTGTTACATTCTGTATACAAACATACACATTGCTCAACGTCTTTCGAGAGAATGTTGTTCCACCTCAACTGGTTTTAGCTCAGAACTACTAAAAGTGAAACCCACCAGCCTGTAACTTTAAACACAGACGTGCCCTGAGCATTCTGAGACATGTGGGCAGCTCTAATTGAAGGCGACGACCAGAACTGCTGCCTCCATCTCACAAGGATCAAGCGGGTCACTGATTTGCTGGAGAGGATAAGCAAGCGACCAGCTGATTTCTGTAGCACCAGAAGTGACACAACTCAAAAATCATGAGGCCAAGTTCGGACCCCAGTCTCTCAAAAATAACAGCGACTGTGTGTGCTGCAAGTGCTTCTTTGCCACGACAAGGAATGGTCAGAAATATTCAATGCGGGTGTTTGCTTTCTGTTGTATTTTTAAGAAAAGACAGGAGATTATAGGGCACGAGAGTCAGGTTTTCAAGCCTCAAATTGGCCACGACTCTCAAGCACCATGCTCATCCCAAGAACAGCTCCTGCTCCTCCTATAACCACAGCACAGCTTCCTCCTCCGTCTTCTACAGCTCCCACAGCTGGAGTTCGAACAAGTCCTGCTACAAAGGAAAACATGCAGGAATACCAGATGCCTCACCCCACACACGGATGGCTCTCCTCACCAATGGGTGCTGGGCTTTACTGAAGCCCAAGCTCCTCTGTGGTGTTTCTGGTGAGCATGCTCTGGGTGGGCTTGGGGCAGCTACAGCTGTGTCCTCCTCCTCCAGGTTCAGAGATCAAGACCCTCACTATCTGCCCTCCCAAACGCACAGGCCTGGCACAGAGGCGGCGGTCACATCTTGGAAACAAAGCTCAACATGGGCAGGTCCAGGCACTGATAGGAACTAAACAGACATGGGCCGGCACTTTTGGGCTGCACTTCAGGAACCTCAGAATGGGGCCTAACTTGCCAAGGTCACAGCTAAGAGACCAGGTGGAACCACCCTGGCTGATGAGATGGCAGCTAGCCAGGGAGGGCTAGCCCCTAGAACACGTCTGACACCTCCAGGCAGTGCAGATGGCAGAAGGCAGGATCTTGACTAGCAGATCTTTTTTAATATCATGCTTGATGAACTTTTTTTTTTTGAGACAGGATCTTGCTATGTAGCCCAGGCTGGCCTCAAACTTGGGGTGATCTTCCTGCCTCAGCCTCCCGAGTACGCCTACACACACACCTGCCTTCTTGATGAACTTTTAGTTAGAATTGGGGCCGATTTAGCTCAGTGGTGCCACGCCTGTCTCGCAAGTGCAAGGTCCCGAGTTCGATCCCCAGTACCACACACACACAAAAGTTAGAATTGTATGTGAAATGCTGAACTGTACATTAATTTAAAAATTAACATATGTGGACGCTGCCTCAACTTTTCTAATTTTCTACACAATTCTCTTCTCCACTCTCATTTCTTTTCCCTTACTCATAACTCACGGGCACTAATTCTACCAGGTGGAATGTGACACCTGCTCCTCTGGAGATTTCCCAGCTGCGTGTACCACACGACCCTCAGGCAAGAGAAAACTACTTCCTAGTGACAAATCCACCCCTGCTGCTTTCAGTCTGATCATACAATGCTAACATGAACACGTGGACTAACTCCTACCTTTCAAATTTGGACTCCACGTCAAAGTCTTCCACGTTCAAGACCAGGTCCACGTTGTTCTCGGCCCCAAGGCTGGACCGTGTGGTGGTATACACGCTCAGCTGGAAAGGGTGGCAAGAGAGTTAGCCTGCGAGGCACCTGGCAGAAAGCACATCCCATGGCCAGAGGGCAGACGATCGCACAGAGTTCCAGAGGCAGGGCTCTGATGTGTCTGCTGCAGAGGAGGAACACGCCAGTGGGAGGCTGGTGAAGATCACAGGATGTGGGCCAGCCGTATCTGGTGGGAGCCACAGCACAGGGGACCAGGAGGAGCGTGCCGGAATACCAGCCATGGACACCAGTGACAAGGGGCAGCACCCACAGCCCATAGCATATGGACTAGGAGAAACTCAACCCCACTCCCACTGGGGCGCCCGGACATCAGTCGTGGCACTGGTGATAGGTCAGTGCCCCGACCTGCTCACTGGGCCACCAGGATACGGAGCTGTGGCACCGGTGACAGGAGTACACTGTCGAGAACCTGAGTCCGACCTTATCTCTCACTGGGGCCGCGGGGGCCGCGGGACATCGGGCTGTGGTACTGGTGACAGACAACTCAAGCTGGGGAGCCTTGCCCGCCCGGCCTGGCCCGCGCTCACCTGCAGCTTGGGCCGCAGAGCCAGGTATGGCTGTATGCAGTTGGCGTCGCCGGTGCACGGGCGAGTGTAGACGATGCCGTACATGACCCAGCAGGTGTGCACCACGTAAACCACGAACACGCCCACCACCAGGCTGGTGAAGGAGCTGCGGCCGCTCCACATGGCGCCGCCCCCCGCCCCCCGCCCCCGCAGCCGGCCGCCGCTCACGAAAGAGCCGCCGCGCGCCGCCGCCACCGCCGCGGGGGAACGAACGCGCCGCGCGCCGGCCGCCAACCGTCCTGCATACTCTCGCCGCCTACACCTGGCGCCGCGGGATTCGCCGGCTGCCGCTTCCGGGCCCCCGGTCGCTGCCGGAAGTGGGCGCGCGCGCGCCAGCACGCGGGGGGGGGGGCGTGTTCGTGACGTCACCCGCCTGCGCCGTGCTCCCAGCGTGCCCCGCGGCAGCCGGACGCTTGGCTAGTAGGGGGCGCGCCGGGAGGAGGGCTGTGTGTGAGTCGGGTGTTGGTGTCAGCAGGGTTCATTGGGTGCGTTTGGGGCTGACCCTCGCCCCCGAGGTTGGTGCCCCCCACAGCGTACACACTCGACTTGCAGGTCGGGCGGCCACAGAGGCTACAGGCATGCGCGGGGGAGGGGGCGGGGAAGCGGGAGGGGCGATGCGGGGAAACTGCTGTTAAGTCTGGATTGTATCCAAAAATTAAGAAAAAAGAAAAAGCCTTCAGATTCACAAACACCTGATTTCGTGTGTATGGGGGGAGGAGCTGACACAGTGTTGATCACAGAAATCAGAGTGGTCAAAAGGAGCGCAGAAATTCTTCCCTGAGCTTTAGTCTTCTCCAAAGGCTAGAATGCCACGCAGACATATAATAGAGTCTGTAACTGAGTTGTCCCAGACCTGCTTAGAGGCTGCATTTGGTAAAAAAAAAAAAAAAAAAAAAAAAAAAACCACTGCCCTGGGGCCTGCAGATGCACAGTGGATAACCAAAGTAGGATGAAGCCTGGGATCTGTCTTCATCTTGTGTCCCTCTTTATTGCCTTAAATTTTGGCTTAGATTCCTGCTCGGCTCTGCACATGTGCGCATTAACCGCCCAGGGAGTGTCTGTCTAAGCTAGGTTTATTAGTCCCCCAAATTTAACCTATTTCATCCCGCTTCAAAACTGAAGGTCCCAAGATAAGAGTCGCTAAGATACGTTTAATTGCCAGAACGGCCTGTTCTAGACCTTCTGGAGCACACCTGGAAGTCTTTGGTCACTGCCCTAGACCTCAAGTCACCTTCAATTCCCGGAAGGGTAGGGCCTGGGAGACAAGTAACTGATGAGGCCACTCCCTAAGTGGGAGCAATTACCCCTGGCCAGGACTGAGGCTGCCCGACCCGCATGCAGGAGCCATCAACCCATGGAAACCAGAGTGCCCTTTGAGCAACGAGGACTTCCCTGGAACCACTTTGCAGAACCAGAATCGAGATAGTGATGACCAGACCAGAGCTGACCAAGACTGTAATGCACACCTTGTGTTCCCTGCCCCAGTTCTTCCTCTATGCAAACTTAAAGCTCTGGTCAGTATCTCTGAAGATATGGCTAAGGACATCTGGTCCCCTTATATTCCCAGTGTAGCTACAGCGATTAATTCCCTTTCCTGCTTCATTACTTTTTTGGGGCAAGTGATTTCAAGGGACCTCCAGAGTCCAGCCTCTGGCCTCGGACCCCAGTAGCACATAGAAGGAATAATTTTGTGAAATCTAGGGACAGTTTTCAAGTTTGAGGGATAGGAAAGTGTCCGTTTTGGCTCTTGACCTGGGAGATCCAGTGGACTTGCAAAATTTACAGCCCCCTGGATTGAATGAGTTTTCAACTGCTGAAATTACCTCAATCCTGCTCATCTCCTAGAGAAGGCTGCTCTGGGTCCTGCCTGACCTTGGCAGAGCACAGGTTATGCTCTGTCTCTAGCTGACCTGTGTTTTTCCATTTTGTTAATATGTTCTGCACTCATAAAACTGTGCCTCACTTGAACTTTCTTTATGATGTTTTGTTTTACAATATAAACCCAATGTGGGGACAAGCACTTTGAAGGAAAACACAGAATTCCTTAGCATGAGATGGCCAGTGCCCTTTCCCAGGGTCTAAGAGGGAGACTTTCTCCTTTTTTCCAGGGCTTCATGCATGGCACCTCATGTTTTCAGTAGGAAGGCATCATTGCAGCCCGTGGTAGGCACCCGATCTTCCCATTTCTTCAGAAGAGTTCCCGGAAACAGGACCCATGGTTTTGCTAGAGTTGCTCATGTCCTTCAGCTGTTCTGTGTTGTGGTGTCTCCTCTCCTGTGCCCACAGCATGTGTGTACACATCATCAAACACATCCTTAGACATTTATTGAAATCTGAATGCTGTTAAATTGCTGAGGGTTTTCAGAGGCGGGACTCCAGGAGGAGTTCACAGGATCTAGCTTTCTCCAAGCAGATAGAAGGGATTTGTAGCTGATTGTCAATGAAGGGGGCTGAAGGCAGGGATGGTCTGGTTCATCGGAGACTCCCTGAACCACACACCCTCATCCAAGGCATTCTCCAGTCGTAAGGTCTATTCATTGCCCCAGCGGTGGCAGCGCTGTAATGGTGCCTGACCAGATTCCTGTATGTCTCACTGTCCTGTCAGAAAACCCTGAGGGACCTCCCCTCACTCTGAGGGACATCCATCTTTAGCAGGCTCAGACCTTTGGGCAAAGTGGCCCTGCCACCCTCTGCAGGGCTGTCCTGTGCCTCCGGGGCATCTTGTCTGGCTCATAGTGCACTTGAGACCCCTGCAACAATTGCCTCTCCTGCTGCAGCTGACTGCAGGTAACGCCGTGTTCTGGAGACAAAGACTGATGCCAGCTCTAACCATGAGGGGTTGGGAAGTTGCGGGGGTGGGGTCTCAAAGCATCTATGGGGCTTAGGAAGGGGCTGCAGAGCCCAGGGACTCTGGGGCAGGGCTGCTTCTCCCTCCCCAGTCCTCAAGTGCCTCATTTTCCTGTTCGCTTCCAAGCTTGTTCTTGGAGCTAGAATTGGATTGCTGCCGTTTCCTTCTGTGTCCATTCCTGGTGTCACCCACAGTGGCCAGCGGTGTGGAACATTTGCCATCAGGGGCTCTCAGAGAGAGGAGGGGGCTTGCAACGCAAGGTGCTCCTTGAAGGCTGGGCTGACTGTTCGCCTGCCTACTCTGTGCAGATCCCACAGGAGGATGAGGATGAGGATAGGGTGCCTGCCTCAGTCTCCTCGAGACTCAGACATCTGCTGAACCATGTCAGCGCTGGCAGCAGTGGGAATCAAAGTGGCTGCAAAGAGCAGGAATCTGTACCAAAGCCCTTGAAGAGTGCCAGAGGTGGCGCTCTCGGGCCTGCACAGAGGCACCCCCCACACACACTGGCACCCTCAGCACTTCCCAGTGTGGTAGTGGCTTCAGCTCAGTGCCCAGAGCTGGTCCCCAGACTTTGGCCTCCCAGCCCCCCGCCACCCTCGCTCTACACATGGGGCAGCAGACACAGGAAAGGCCAGTGACTGACTGCTCTGGCAGCAGGAACTGTTTATTCCCGCCCCTGCCCTGACTTCAGCCCTGTGACCTGAGGCCAGCCCTGGCAGCTGAGGGGCAGTGGATCTCTGCCTCCCACTTCGTTCCATGAATATCTTGAGAGATATAAAAGAAACGTCTGCCTCCAAATTGGCAGTGGCCCTGGAGTGGGAGGTGGCTCTCCTGGCACCCAGATCTGGACATTTGGATTCCACTGGCTCAATGCTGGCTGCAGAACGGGTGCCGCTGGTCCTCCAGGGCCATTGCCCTCATTGACGGCCCAATTCCCCAGGAGGAAAATCGATGAGATCGCGGGTGTCAGCTGTGCAACACACAAGCCCTGTGATTATCTTACAAAAAGCCAGGCCAGCCTCCCACAGTGCTTTCAGTGGGACTTAGTACTAGGTTCTGTTGTTACCTCAAGAAACCTATTTTTGAACAAATAGTAGATTATATTCTCTCTGGCACTCAGGGAGCTAAACAGCTCCTGACAGCCAGAAAGCTCATGGAAGCAGCTCTTCCCAGGGCAGGCAGGCGAGCCATTCCCCAGGCCAAGGCTGCTCAACCCAGCCTCCCTCGGTGCCCTCCTGGAGCTCCAGCTCAGCCCCACTGTGGCTGTAATTGCCCCCTTGAACGCAGTAATGACAGCCCAGAGCTGCTGCCTCGTGACCCACAGCCAGGGCACAGAGCCCTTTCCAATCGAGGAAAAGCCACTGCAGGCAGAGGGGACTGGGGCCATGGGAGAGGACCCCACCTGCGGCTGCAGACAAGAGCACCCCCTGCTCAGGGGCACAAAGGGAGCAGGAGGCCCACGGCGCAGAGCAGCCACTCCGGCATGAGGTGCACCTCGAAAGGAGGCACCAGAGGACCCCCTCCCAGGGGCCAACTCAGTGCTCATGATGACCCCGGGGCAAGAGTGGAGGGCTGCTGTTGGGTGGACAAGGAAACTAAGGCGAGGGAGGGTTTTCATCAGCACCCACACTGTGTCAAGCTGTGACCCCCAGGGAGCTGCCCACTTGCCCAGAAAGTGTGTACGAAGGCGGCATTGCCTGCAGGGTGCAGGACCTCACCCACACCTAAGCTTTCTGGAGAGAGGGAGGAGTCAGGCCACAGGAAGGGGCTGGTGCGGGGAGGATCTCACAGGGACAGGCGGGGATCCCTGCCTCTCAGGTCCTGGCTGCCGGGGCTGGGCTGGACCCCGAGTCCCAGAGGGGAAGCAGGGAGCCTTGGTACCGTTCTCCCCTCCCCTGAAGACCAGGACACAGTCAGGGCCCGACCACGCTCAGCCACAGCTGGGAGTCGAGAAGCATGGATGAGAAGGGTCTGGTAGCGTGGTGGGAGGGACAGTGGCAGTGACTGGCCGCAGATTGAGCAGGGACTCCGAGGAGGATGTGGCATCAGAGGAAGACGAGGAGACCGGGCAGGACTGGGCACGGGGACAGCATGCGTGGGGACTGCTGATGTGTGAGGTGTGGCCCCTTCCAGGACCAACTCCGTCCTGGTGACCACGTGTGTCTGCTCCCACGGGACTGGTGGTCACAGGAGGGCTCCAGGGTCCAGCCATGCACATGTAGAGCTACTGGCGTCTAAGTGAGATGTCTTCAGGTAAACATGTCTCGTCCCTGGAATAAACAGTTTGGGTCTGTGGAAGTGAGAAGCGGTAGTGACTGCCTGCTTCCC